TAAACCCTCACGCAGTTGAACGCCTAATCGCAGGACATGATTGGCACCCCATTTTTTGCTTCTTGCCATTTTTTGCTTCTTGCCACTAGTGGCATTTGCCATAGACATTGCTGCACTCTTTATAGCATGGCCGCAAGCCAAGCGACATGCGGAGTACGCTCATCCCGAAACTAAAGCCTGTGGGCCCCAACCCCAAGCCTCTGAGCTGAAGAGGGCAGTGCATCGTATGCAAAGACCTAAAGTTAAAGGCGAACATGATGTAAAGCAGCCCCTAGGCCCAAATGCGTAAGACTAGCTGCGAGAAGCCAGGAGCTGTGACTTCTCATCGCTTGGCATTGGTCGGTGATGGTTGTCCTTTCTGCAGAGCGACACTCCGCCGTCGTTGAAAGGTCAGGTAGGGCCAGAATATTTACAATGTGCTGTGTGTAACAGGCGTAAGATGGATTTGGGTGTTGGGTCTGGACGCCAAGCGCTTCATCAAGCATGTGGCACACCGGTATTGTAGCGACCATACTTGGACATGGGAGGGCCATGAACAGCCACTGTTCTTTTGGCTTTGTCTGAGCTGGGTGTACTGGTTCCCACTAGCAATCTTGCTGCCGGGAAGTACGAGCTATAGGCCACGGCAAGTGTATGCATGTTGACACTTTCTCGTGAGTGTAAGCTATAGCAGATATCAGATTGCTTGGGCTAGGCATGTGTTGAGTGTCGCCAGATAGTTTCAGCGGTCCCTTGCCGGCTTACATATGAGCTGGTTTTCAGGCCCCGCAATTACAGTAACTCCGCGACCTGCGTTCAATTGTCTCCGGTCATCGAAAATTGCTGGACGGCTTCCACACTGCAAGCTGCTTTACACAAACATGATAGCAGCAAGAGCACGACCTTAGTAGCTGTAGTTAAGGCAAAAGAATTGCAGCAGTAGTCAGTAGTAGCCGGTCAGTAGTAGCCGTAGTGGAAGTAGTAGCAGTAGCAGCGGCAGTGATACCAGTAGGTGTAAGTAAGGCATTCATCTACATGCCGGCAACGGGTAGTTGTTACGGTAATACTAGCGGCCATGGTCATGGCAAACATATCAGCACTGATTTCCACTTGTACGGCTACAGCTCTCATCGTCACAGTGGTCATCATAGTCATAGTCGTAACACTCGTGGCATCAGCAGTCATGTTAGAAGCGATATTAGTACTAATCAGTGATAGCAGCAATGTCAGCAATGCCAGCAACAGAAGCAATAATGGAAGACCTTGTTCTGGATTCGAAATCGTCTTCAAATCGAACCTACATGGCCCACAGCCGCACTCTGAGGTCCCTTTGGGCGCCCTCCGCCGCGTGAGGGAGCTGGGCCGCGGTGGCTTCGGGCGTGTTATCGAGGCATGGTGCGTCTTTTCTCGTGAAGTTTCCTGAGGGCCTTAGGAGCTTCGAGTTTAAGAGTTCTAATGATTCTAATGGGTTCATAGGATCCTTAGGGGCGTGGGGCTCTAGCGGGTTCAAAGGATTGCGGGATGGGGAAGGGATTCGCGTACCCGTGACCAGGATCCTGCCTAGGGTCGATGCTGATGCTTGGGGTGTGTGTGTGTGTGTGTGTCTCGGGTCTCGAGCACGAGCTTCAGAAACTCTGGGGAAGCACGGCTTGAACAAGCCAACCGCGGAAGGACGCGGGTTCTGTTGAGGCCTTTTTATACAAGGGCTGACCAGGGCTTAGGCTTAGAGTTTAGAGTTGAGGCTCGATTTCGTCGGTCAAGTGCATGCAGATCGACACTGACATGGAGTTGTGGGAGATGGTTCCCCTCGTCTTTTCCCGTATCGAGACTTTGATCTTGCAAGCCTCGCTCGGCTCTGAAAATTAGTGGTCTAGAAGTGCACTTACATAGATCTGGTTTAGGGAGATAGATCGATGGATAGATGGATGTACCCAGGTCCGAAAACGCCGTACTAAATTTGGCAAAGTCCCCTAATCACCCCGAGACTCGGGCAGGTAGAGCTACCGAGAGATGCTGCCAGTAGTATCTGGCGGCGGCCGGTGCGCACTCAGAGGCCCGCGACAGGTTTGATGCATGATTGATGTGGGATTGATGTAGATAGGTCTGAGAGGGACGAACGAAGGTGTGGAAGGTGTATGGTTGAGAGTTTAGGAACACTCCTTACTTGGGAGTTTCCGAAAATTAGGGGTACTTTATTTTGGTGTCCTTACAATAAGGGTCCTACTATTTAGGGTACTTTTTAGGGTCTCCTATTTTCGGAAACTCCCACTTGGCACAGGCTTTCAGTGCGAGTTTCTGTCTTTGAGCGAGACTACGGGCCACCCTTTGCGGCGGCTCGCTGGAGGTTTTCCGCTTCGGAGGCAGCGCTGAGATCTCTAATACGGTTTAGGGAATAGGGGTTTAGGGGTATAGGGTTTGGGGCGCAACGAGGATTGAGCACAAAGCTGCTATGACCCGCAAGCCACTGAAAACGCTCGTGCATCCATCTCCGGCAGCTGTGAGGAGTCGCTGGTCGATGTGCAAGACGATGTTGTAGAATTTTTTGTCGCTGTTTGTCAAGAGAGCCCGAATGAAGATGGCCACTATCCAAAACAATCAAGGACTTTTGGCGAAATTGCTTTGCGGGGATACCTACGTTGCATTGCCTGGTGCTCTGGCAGGTTCGCGCTGAAGTTGCAGCTGAAGCAAGACCACCGGCAAGCATCTTCGGAGGCGCTCCTCAAGACCTCCACGAATGAATTGCAACTCCCTGTATGTCTACCTATCTGTCTATCCACCTGTGTACCGTACATATCTGTCTATCGGCTTGCCTATGGGATATTTACATTTTTCGGACGCTGCAAAGAAGTGCTTTGCTTGGCGAGCCGTTGGGACAGGCGGCTGACCTGGCTCATTGAGCACCGTGGTTTCACGGCTCGAGGTAGCTCCGTGCTTCGAGCACATCCAAGACCACTCATCGCCGAGTGGATGCAAGCTGGCACCTGACAACATGTGTCATTGTGCCGCTATAGAGTGGATGATGCTCGGTCGGCGTTGGTACAGAAACACATATCTTGGCAGTGGACTTGCTCCTGAACTTCACTGCAGTAGATCGGGCTTTTTGCATCATTGCAGAAGCGATGGTGACCCGAGGTCGGAGTCTCGCCCGAATGCACAATGATGGATCTTAGACAGTCGGTGTGAGGATGTGTTCGCAAGGCCGTCTTGAAGTCAGTAGCCGCCGAGCTGAAGCTTTGAATCGAAATCCGGGGATCAGGAATGATTGGTGTTTCGTCTTTTCCTGGGCGAGGTCCGCCGTTGCAAAAGCGGTTCACTTGCACTGCCAGGAGACACGGCTCGCGCGGAGGGCCGTTGCCGCGTCGAAAGTCTGGGAGCTGCAGCAATTGACCACTCTTTGCAAGGTCAGATGGCCATCAATGGTTTGGGCAATCCGAGCTGGCGGCTCCGCGATGAAAAGCGGCCATGACGCCCCTCGGTCACGCACCTGATACCCCGTAGGAGCAGTTTCATCCGGCTGAGACGCCACCTCTGGATGAATAACGAGTCGGCTCTGCCAACAAATGCCAGGTGCTCAGCTATATCATGCTGTGCCTGCAAGCGCTGCCAAGCAGAGTGCCTGAGGGACCAGGGTATAGGTGCGTCCAAAGGTCGGGAAGGTTTGCCTGTGTACACATTCGCTGCATGATCGAATGCCGCCATCCACGGAACCCGAGTGAGGTGCAAGAATAGCCAGTTACGGGCCAGTAGTGCCGCATTAGCAGTGATTACTGGCGTTGGCAAGGCATCAGGACTAAGTAAGGCAGCGGCATTTACTGGCGTTGGAGCATCTTCGCCAATTCCACTGCCAGTGGAGACCGACCCATACGCTCCATTCTCAAGGAGCCGCCGACTAGATGCCACACCGCGGAATGGGTCAGGAGTGAGAGGTGCTGAAAGAGGGTCGTCGACTCCTTTGTTCGGGAGCCTACCTGCAGTAGGAAAGGAATCGTGGGTCCATGCAGTTGGCACTGGGTGGCGTGGAAGCGAAGAATGCGCAGGGGAGCAAGGCAGGCTGCCTGCATTTCCACTATGATCTCGATCATGCGAGAGAGGGCCACAGGTTGGCGATCCTCGCGAGGCTCCAGACTCTTGCCTTCCTGTTGTTGATTAGATATATAGGGGATGTGGAGCTCGTCGGTGTCCTCCTTCCTTAAAATTAAGGGACCGGATAACTCCACATGTGAAGATTATCTTTTCGTAAAGAGTTGCAGTACGGACCTGAAGCAGCTGCATTATGAGCCTCAGAGCCAATCCGATTATCCCTGCTGCGGGAGCCAGGTGATGACCGCATTGAAAGCATGATCATGCTTGCGACAGTCTTGTCAACGTAATACATGCCACACTCGACCTCCGCCCCTCCGGCAAAGCTTGCAAGAACAGCATCCGAAAGCAATGCCGGAGCTTCCAATTCCAGGAAGATGAGCTTTGCCGGAGGGGTTGTTTAGAGCCTCTAGATTCGAGATGCAAGATAGTCTGCCTTCGTCCGCAGCCGATGGCTGAAGCGATAGCATGCCGAGCCGATGACACTGCCTGCTTGGACTTGAACGACGTGCGGGAGGCATGAGCACGAGTTCGAGAGTCATGTTTGGTGTCGGGATCAGTGGCTACTCATGGCAAGGACTTCCAAATGCCAAGCCAGAGGTCGAAGACCTTGGCAGAAGCTTTGACCTCCGAGGGTATGATTGCTACATAAACCTGGATGCCGAAACGAGCGATGATGTCAAGAAGTTCTTGGGGGAGCTGCAAGTCAGTGCTTTTACAAGGGTAGTTTGTGGATATGTGGCTGCTCACGGAGTTCAGACCGTTGATGGCAAAGTGCGTATCTTGCCGATGTCAAGTACTGATGAGCAAGACGCTGACGCCCAACACTGGGTGACCGTGGACGACTTGTGCAACATGCTCCTTACCCTTTGTTGCGCCGAAGATGCAGATATCTTTCTTTTCCTGAACTTCTGCCGTTTTCGCAACTGCCCACGTGCTGCATGGAGAAGAACGGTCATGTGCACACCCCGCGAAAGTCGCTGTCCAGCAAGATACACATCATGTGGGCATGTGCATCTGGGCAGGCAGCTCTTGAACGCACGCCGGGTGAGTTCAGTCCATTTGCGGCATGCTTGATGCCACTGGTGCAAGAAAATCGCGACTGGAAGTTCGAGGAGCTTTTCAACGAGTTGCAGCCGGCAGTGTCTACTCAAAGCAGGGTCGCATGCAAAGGCTTCCTTCGACCCCAGCAGCTCACGTTGACACAATCTGCTGCAGCTTCGTACGATATCTTCACTGCCGGCGTCAAGCCGAAAGCCCCGCGATTAGTCGGCGTGCCGGCAGCCAACGAGACATTTACGGGCAGAGCAAGGGAGTTGGAGCTCATAAAGACCACCTTCAGCAAGGCCGCAGATCAGTGTGCCATCGTGCAGACCCGAGCCATAACCGGCTTGGGCGGCATTGGCAAGACCCAGCTCGCCAAGGCTTTCGTGTACCTGCACCAGGACATGTATGATGTTGTACTGTGGATTGATGCAGAGCGCGACTTGGCGACAAGCTTCAGGAGCTGTGCAGCATCTTTGGTTGAGCTGGGCCCAGACCTCACACCAATGCAAGGAAAAGCCAAGTTGGACGACCACCTTCGCCAGTACAAGTACTGGCTGATAATCTTCGACAACGTCGAGAAAACAGCTGATATCGAGCCATACCGTCCTGCCGGTACTGGCCATGTCCTTATTACGTCGCGATATCAGCTGTGGGACAAGGGCAGCGCAGTGGAACTAGGCAGGCTTGCACGAAGGGATGCTGTCGTTCTGCTGTACAGGAAGATTGTCAGTGATGAGGCGGGCGCAATGGACAAGGCAAGAGCACATGTCAGGGACTCATTGATTCCCTGGGGCAGCCAAGACCCAGCAGATAGATCACCACAGCCGCCTGCTTGTGTGCCGGAGGACGTGCTGCAATGTTGGGATCTTGCAGATCTTCTCGACGACTTCCCTCTCGCATTGGTGCAGGCCAGCGCAGCAATTCGATTCTTCGGCTTCGCAACCCGCGATTACTGCGAAGAGTACAGGACCGCATACAGCAGCTTGCAGAAGGAAGAGGAGGACTCCCTTGATCCTGGCTATGCAGATGGGTACAATCGCTCGGTGCACGCAATCCTGAAGATCATCCTGGAAAAGCTTGCCCAACGAGACATGAAGCACACCTCGGCTTCGGAAAGAGTGTCGCAGCTGCAGTCGATTGCAGTCCTCAGCTTCGGGTGTGTAAGCATTTGGTAAGCTTTTTGCAAGGCTTCTCTGTTCCGAGGTGCTGGGTGCAGTGGCCTTGCTCGATGCAGCGATTATTCCACACAGCCTCCTCGTAGCTTTGGTCGAGGAGATGTGCCCGGAGCTGACATCAAACATCCAGAAGCTCGGTGTGCTCGGCAATCTCTGGCGATGTTCGCTGATCTCACGCTTGAATGAGGCCGCTAGACCTGAGCAGCTAGCTGCGAGATGTGATTTGGGGTTTGGGGCAGACTTGGGAACCCAGGACCTGCTTGATAAGAGCACGAGCCGGAACTGCCAGCAGAACGGGAAAATCTTCTCAGATACGGTATCATCGTGTCTTGGCACGGGGTTCACAGGAATTGACCGTGGCCTTCTCCGATGGTGTTCTGCGATGCCCTGCGAAGGATTATACAGTGCACCGTGTGGTGCAGCAGTTCGTGCTCTGTCAGATGGACCAGAAGAGCCGGCATGAGGCAACGGTAAACTCAACCCATGTCACCATGTCTGTCAGTCGCACGACGTTTGTTATCTGCTCATCTAAGAACATAAGGTTCCGGCAGCGAATGACAGCTTCTGTGAGTACTGGTAGGCAAGGAATCTCAAGGGTGTTTCCGGTGTGCACGTGTCGTCAGGCCGTTCATCGAGTTTCTAGAGTGCTGAACTCCCTCTTGAAGCGCAGCCTGCACGAGTCGCCGGAGACAGTGAAGAGCAACAGACTCCTGCTGCCGCATGTCCGAGCACTGACAGCCAGTGATCAAGATGTGCAGGGGCTAAAAGATCGCGACCCCATTGTGCTGGGAAATTTGCTGTGCTTGGCAGCAGATTTCTACGTCCATGAGCAACGTGACCGCAAGACAGCCAAACATCTCCTCGACATGGCAGATCGCCACAGCCCATCCGGGACATCTGATGCGATGCTACAGCTTTCAGTAAGGTTGCACGGCTTACAGTGCGTGTTCAACTAGAATCTTGAGGACAAGGTTTCTGAAGCGGAGAGGCATTTGTTGCAAGCCCTGCGTTTGTGCCCGGATCAGTCGCCACTACGTGCGGAGCTACTTCACTTGCAAGGCAACCTGAAGTACAGACAACACAAATTCCGGGAAGCTCAGCGCTACATGGAGGACGCGCTCGAGATAAAAAAGCAACATCCAGACGAGTACAATCAAGCTTCCCTGGCTTATTCGGAACATGGTCTGGGCAATGTGTATGCAAAGATGCACCAGATTATCCGAGCGGACCTTTCTTATGTGCAATTGAAAAGAAGGTTTCCTTCTACCGCTGCGAGGATCATCTGGACGTTGCACGCAGCCAGTGCAGGCAGGTGAAAAACATGCTTGATCAAAGGCTGATGTCAACAGCAGAACACGTGAAGGCATTTCAGCTCATGATACACGTGGTCACGGTCTTCGAGAGAGACTTAGACGAAGAGCACTACGAGGTCGTGAATGCCAAGACCCTGAAGAGTCGAGTTCAGTCCTTGGTAGCAGAAGCCCCGGCTGCAGCCCCGGCAGGGTCAAGCCTTTGCTTCCTGGCCCCTTGTATTCATCCGCGTGCAGTCGGTGCACCGCAAGACCGATTTTACTCTAAGCTTGCGCAAGTGCCACACCGAGATCTCGCATTCATGAAGGCCTTTGCCCCTTCTGAGCAGTTTCAGAAGCAACTCGCAGCCCAGCTGAAGGACAGCTTTCTGCGCCAGGCACAACAGTTCGAGAAGGACGGGCTTCTTTTTTTTACCATCTTAATAGGCTGCCTGGAAAAGTGGCGGGGTTGGTACCAAGATGCGATCGAGCGCATTGGCTCATTCCAGCCAGCCTTGCGCATGCAAACCTTTACGGCGACTTCTCACACGAACATTGAGCTGAGCAATGATGTGCAGGCTGCCGTTGCGGATCCCTACCTTCTGGCGCTGCTTGCATACGTGGCTGGTGGCAACATTCAGTTGTCAGATTTCCGCGCAGCGACAACGCATCCAGGTGGCCATGCTGAAACTGTGACAGCGATGTGCGGAAGCTAATGTAATGTAAGCAATTTGTACTGAACCCAAGTCAGGGCTGCCAGTTTCTTAGATTCTTGTCACTTCAAAGAACAGGTAGTCCGCTGGGTAGTAGTGCAAAACCTGACCCTCAGGTGAAGATATTCTATTTCGTGCCTGGAAATGGCACCGAGATGGTGGCAAAGAACCAGAATGGAAGTTGATGGTTCTTCTGGATGATGGAGGCAACGAGATGCACTACCTCAAGGGATCCATGCGTCGTTGGAAAGGCTCCCGACAGAAAGATGCAAACTTCTCCATGGAAGACGCTTTGCACATTGCCTCTGGTGGTTCCAAAGAGCTGCCCGGAATAACACGGTGTTTTGGTCCTCCAGGTACAGTTATACTTTTCGCAGGGCAAGGGCTGCACAGGGCAACACATTCGTAGAGTTGTCACATTTCGCTTCAAGCGAAATGTTCCTAACTTGGCCCGCATCTATCCACTGGACGTTGTCAATCCGGGTCAGCTGTGCTCCTCGAACACCTTGGTCAGATCTGTCTTGGTTCGTGGCAGCGGCGAGTCGCTTGGCTAATTCTCGGCAGGAGCTTGCCGCTCTTTGAGTCTATCAGCCCTGGGGGTGCATACAGACGTGCATTCTCAGTCCGTCGGTCATCCCTCTCACCAGCTTTGCTGTGTTCGCATAGCCATGTGGAGTGGAGTTGCTCAGCGAGAGGAGGACAGGAAGGAAGGTCGCCAAACAGCGAAAATCATGCAGTGCCACACTCTCCAGCACCTGGTGACACTGCGCCTGAGTGATACAGGTAATACATGCAAGCAACTCACCTTAGTCATCACAGCACAGCCGGACTGTGACTTCCTGCGTCTGATGACACACAGGCAACACAAGGCCAACAAGTTTCGATGGGTGCACTTGCCTCTCTGCTTTCTGTCTGAACGCATGCACTCTTTGACCTTCGTTCTTGTTGTGCTGAGTCAGCGACCTCCTGCTTCCTGGACGTTTGCCAAGCAATAGACTGTGACCGTGGCTGTCCACACCATGGAGCAAAGCCGAAGCCAAGGGCATTGGTTGAGAAGGGTCTTATATAAGCTTTCGGACCTTGTCATCTAGGATCGCAGTAGCCGTGCCTTGCTGCACTTTGTTGCCAAGGCAGCTGGCTAGCAGTGATGAATGCAGATTCATCGACGAGAAATCGTCGAAGCAAAAGCTTGTTCAATGTGAGCAAGACACGAGTCCGCAAGAGACTGCTTGTTTGCTCGGCGCCTACACGGAGATGAAATCACTGTCTGACTTGAAGCCCAGAGTTCGCTCAGCCGAGTTGGCAGAATTGCATTCCAAACTGCTGGATAACATCAGTGTGGATATCAACTTCGATTTGGACTTGCCTGTTCGCCAAAACAACCTTGATGTGAGCCGGGATTTGTTGCGGGTGCGATTTCGGTACCTTCGCAGCGGCAGCAAGCAGTTCACTGATCTTCTGCAGAATTTTCGTTCCTGTGCGGATGAAGGTCTGCATGAGCCTGCGTCGGTCAGCACTCTCCAACTTTTGGCTGGTCGCCTTGAAGATTGGTTGAAATCCTGCACTCCGGAATCAGCTGAGCTCAAGCGAGAAGCCGTTGCATGCCAACGACTGACAATGGATGTCGGAAGAGCGCTGGCTCACCTCGACGATGTTCAAGATTTGCGCACCGTGCTTTGCTTCCTATATCTTTTACATGATCATGTCGGAAGAGTTTTTCCTGGTTGCCCAAACTGGGTTGCCCTTGATCAGCGTATCCTCTTATGAACGTACAGCTTTGTCGTGCTGCTTGACGATGCAGCTGCGACCTCGGCAGCCAATGATAACGCACGGGGAATGTCGCACAGTCCCAACCACACTCGGCAGTATATCTTCCGGGCAAAAGCCCTGCAGAAGATGTGCCAGCCGGTACAGGTCCCCAGTTTCGTCCAGAAATCAGCTGCAGCAGGCGGCTGACAGTCATATGATGATGCTCTCTTACAGCATTTCGCACGCCATACAGTCATACAGGGTGCCTGAAGCGTAGAAGTTCCGCAGGAGACACTCTTGCTTGCAAAGAAGAAAGTTCCCACACCATGAAGGTGACGTTTCGCCACTGGCACAAGCCCGGTCAAGCAATTTCAATTTCTGAAGTTCCACGTTCGTGCAAGCTGCCAAACGCGGAACTCGAAGTACAAAGGATTTGCCAGCTTTTAAGCAACTTAAGAAGCTCAGACCGAGTCTTTCGAGAACTGTCTGCTGTGAGGTCTTGGCACTGCAGCGCGCCGAGCACGCCTTTATCGTGCACCTGCATCGTGCGCAGGAGCCCCAAGAAGACGAGAACGTCTGTATTAGTTACGAAGCACTATGGCTATCTATATACTATATTGTATACATATATAAGTACACGAACAGAAGCACTTTTTAAGGAGCTTCACTAAACGAAACAAGACATCGGGCAGGTATACCACCCAATTCAGCATCAGAGGGGTCTGTAGCAGGTAAATCAGGGAGCTGGAGCTTTGCTGCTCGGTCCCAAAATGTAAAGGGGAGATGCGGGTTTTCTCCAATTTCTGATGCCCTGCGAGGAAGTTTTTCAGCGGATGAATCCCCCGGTCCTCCGATCGTTTTCAAACACTTGTGCAGACCAAGGTTCGCCTTTAACAAGTACCTGGCGCTTCTCCTGGAGCTGTGCCCTACCGACCTCAACCGCATGCCTGGAGCCGAGTGGACGTCTGCTATTATTACTAGTATTATGATTTTACTATTACTATTGCTATTACTGTTATTACTATTTTTAATATTACTATTACTATTACTATTACTATTACTATTACTATTACTATTACTATTACTATTGTTATTATTACTATTACTATTGTTATTATTATTGTTATTATTGTTGTTCTTATTACTATTATTATTATTGCTCTTATTATTATTATTACTATAACTATTATTATTAATATTGCTATTACTATTATTACTATTACTATTATTATTATTGTTATTATTATTACTATTACTATTATTATTTTTATTATTACTACTATCTTATTACTATTAGTATTACTATTATTTTTATTACTATTACTATTACTATTATTACTATTTTATTATTATCTGTTATATATATATATATATATATAGTATTACTAGTACTATACTATTATTTTTATTGTTATTGTTATTAGTAGTATTAATTTTATTGTTATTATTATTATTAGTATTACTACTATTACGGAGTTGCAAACCAAGGCTCTGCGAGCCGGCGGAAGAGGGCGGGAGGCTCTCAATTGTCGGACGACGGCAGTAGCAAGAACACATCACCAGTGTGAAAAGCTACATCGCAGACTGAAGAGCGGCAGGCCAATGCATCGCATGGCACCCACCGCGATTAAGCACGCCAAATTCTGAAACTCTGGAGACGCAGAGTCCGCAATGGATTCTTTGAGGCATTGATACTAGTAGTAGTTCAGTACCGTTACTACCGGCAGAACCTGGAAACCTGGAAAGTCCGCAACCTGCCCAAAGCACGTCGCCAAGCGCTCTCTGGAGCCGCCCTGGCAGGTGCCTGGGCCTCGCTCCAGATCTGGCAGCGCGGTACATGGGCCAGGCCATCCGCCTAGCGTTTTTGTTGATCACGTTCAGCTTTCCTGTAATAGTAACAACAATTACCGTAATTCTTGCCGCTGTTGTTGTTGTTGGTGGTGGCGCTGCTGCAACAGTATTGTGTTGCTGTTGCTGTCTGCTTACCGTTTGTTTTTTACAGTACTACTTGCAGGCTTCTGCTTATTTCTGCGACGACAGACAAGAGCAGTCACCCCACGAGGCTTTTCTTCACTTCAATTCGAACATGACGCTTGCCTCTGGCTCGCACACTCAACCGTGAAACTTGAGCCCTTAGGGTGAATTAAACCCCTCGTCCTCCCACCGAAAAATTTGCGCTACACAGACACAGGGAGACAGAGAGAGAATGCAGATCGACGGGCAGGCTGACGGATTGATGAGCGGACAGACAGACAGACACACTAGCGCACGGATGCAGATACAGATACGCAGAGGGTCGCCGAGTGCGCGGACAGACACGTGCACCACACACTCACCTGTGTAGATACATATAAAACTATGTACACACATATTGCTGTCACCCTTACTAAGGCGCCCATGCATGCGCGCGTCAACAGTAAATACATCCATACTGCATGCATGCATTTTTTCCTTGCCGATGGAACCACCGACCGACCTACCTGCCTGCCGTGCCTCTCTGTCTCCCTAGCTCCCTGCTTTACCTACATGCACAGACATGCACATGCGCTCAGTTGCATCCCCTTTATATGATGTATACTCATGAGGCAATAGCACACCAGGTCACACATATCAGGTTTTAAACCCATATGCTATTTGTCTGCATCATCGTCCTCTATTTTAACTCCCTCTGATGTTTCCGATCCCCTTCACCGCCACCAGTATCATCCTCCGTCTCCTTCGCCTCCTAAGTTCCTCCTGATCCTCGACCTTCCTCATCGGCCCGACGTCTTGCGTGAGTCGCGGAGTCAGGTGATGTTGGCACTGGCCTACCTTCACGAGAACAAGATCGTGTCACATGCTCAGCCACCTCGCCCTTAAGCTCACAAGCCTGGAGCACTGCTCTTTGCTCAAATGCATTGCTCAAAGCAGCACCTTCATCCGCCTTGTGTCTCCAGTAGCAGGTATCGGGACGTGAAGCCGGAGAACATTCTCGTCAGCACATTGAACGAGGTCCGGGCAAGTGAGGAGCCCATAGTGATTTCGATGCCGCAGTCCATTGACACTGATCATACTCATCTTCAGGGCTATTGGTCTGCACTCACCCCCCTGCGAACCCAAATGTTCGGTTCCGGTGGGCATCTTGGCCAGGCCAAGCTGACGGACTTCGGGCTCGCGAAGGTGGGGATCCGCGGTTTAGGAGGTTTAGGATGAGGGCGCTTCCGGTCAAGATCAGGATCCATGGTCAACAGCTAGGCTTGCGCCCTTCTTCGTATGCATAGGTCCGTGAACCGAAGGACCCCCCAGAAGCCTCTGCGGGCACCCGGTGCAGGTGGTGACGTCTGCAGAGAGGACCTTGCCTGTGGTCTTGCACCAAACCTCCAGGTTTCTGCTTCCGGAATCTTGGGGTATGTGGGGTCGGAGTTTCGTGCCTTTATGGCGTGTTCAGCAAGTGCAGGATGACGATGTGTGGCACCATGGGCTTCCTCTCACCGGAGCTGACAGGGGTCGGTGCCTGGATCTCGGAAGGAACAGGCTCTGGTAGGTGCTGCTTCTTTGGTGGACAGGTCGCGCTTAGCGCTTAGCAAGAGATCCGTCGCCGTGACTCTGAGTGCTAAGGCCGTCCTCTCGACAGCTTCGCTCATGAGCTCCGATGCATCAGGCGCCTCGCTGCTGCTCCAA